CCCCCGTTGCTGGCTGATGGCCCATTTGTCCCCTACCAGTATCCCCCAGTCCTTCTCCACAGGATGCTCTCCATCCATCCATCCCTCCATCCCCCCATCCCCCCATCCCTCCCCTTCCCCAGTCCATGCTGGTACTGGGGATTGCCCTGACCCAGGTGCAGGACCTTGCACTTGGCCTGGTTGAACGTCATGAGGTTCTCATGGCCCCACTCCTCACAGCTGTGTCATCACAAATCAGCAAGAGCTGCTTCACCCCAACTAACCCCTCCCAGCTGGATGGATGCCAGATGTTGTCTGGGAGCAGCCTCCAGCTCCCCTGGGTGCTGGGGCTGCCCATGGTGTGGTGCCAGCTGAGCCATGATCCTAAGGACAGCACCCATGTGCCAGCATCACTGGAGCAGGATGTGCACCCTGTCTGAGCGCATCTCCCTTCTGTCCCACGGTACTGGGGGGTGGGGTGTTGGAAATGGTCCTCGGTGTCCTCAGGACAGGAGACAACCTTGGACATAGGTGCAGGGTCTGCTTAGACAATCTAGAGGCATTAAACTCATGTGGCCTCATAAGGGTAGGCTGTGTGCTCCCTCATGGGACTGTGGGTCAGCTCTTGGCATGACTCAGGGTTGGACTGGATGACCTTTAAAGGTCCATTCCATCCCAAACCATTCTGTGGCACCTGCTGACATACTGCTTGTAGCTTTTCGATTTCCCACAGGCTGAGAGCAGCCTCGCTCCATGTCCGTCTGCTCCTTCAGCCCCCAGTGAGATGCACAAAACATGGCAGAAGTTCAACCAAACGCAGGATTAACCCCCATGTCAGCCTTGGCCAGAGCGCAGTCCTGCGCTTTAGCGGGGTGGGGGCAGTACAGCAGGGAACAGCGCGGTGCCCCCTGCCTCTCTGTGCTCCTGAGCCTGCAGAGAACCTGGTAATTCATGCAAAGGCTTCTTGTAATCCAGGGAAGTGAATTTATTGAGATGAATTTGGACATTAAGAAGCAAGGTTTCCATGAGGCACGAGGGGGGGATGCAGCCAATGGGGCACTAAAACGTAGGTGGTGGAAGGCTGCTCTTGGTGTGTCCTCACTGGCATTTGCTTTAGAACAGGGCGAGTGAGCAGCACCTGTGATGACAGTCAGGTCAGGACACTGCTCTTTGCAGGGCCCAAACTTGTGGGGCATTTGGGGCGTTGCCTGTCCCCTCTGGAACAGCACCCCAGTTGCTTCTTAGTGATCTCTAAGCACTTGAGCAGCATGCGAAACCTCCACCACAAAGCTGATGGGAAGTTGTCCTCCAGGCTATCAGAAGACACCAATTTCTCCTTGTCCGGAGGCAAACGTGCTGTGCTTGGGGCAGCTCTGTTTGGTGGGTGGTGCAGCTCCTCGGTCAAGAGACCCAAACTCCTTGAACACTACCAACAAGTCCCTTCAAGAGCTGGAGGACCTTGGAGCAGGGCTCAGAAGATCAGGACAGAGCTGGGCTGGTAATTTGGAAAACAGATGAACGGTGGTTGGAGTCGCTGTTCGAGCACTGAGTGGAGGGGTGGATCCGTACTGTGTCTGCTGGCTGAATCACTGTTTTTCCAGGGTGTCCTGGTAGATGAGAGAGGCTCCACAGGTACAATCCTACTGGAACCCGTCTCAAAGGACTGTGCTTAGGCGGATGCAAGCCCTGGTTGCTCTCCTGCGCATGCTCTGCTGTTGCAGAAGGTGAGGTCTGGGTGTCTGTGAGGCCTGGATTTACCCACCAGCCAGCGCAGGAGGAAGGTGCGGGGCTGGATCCGCACTGCACAGAAGGGCTCATCCTTCTCCTCCCCTCCCTTCCCACTGATCCCTCTCCTGGCTGCACAGACTGTTCTCGGATCCATGTTACCGCTGCTGCCTGGGCTTATTTTGGCACCCAGTGGGTGGGCAGCTGGCTGGCTTTGGGGGGGGGCCCCCCCCGCCGAGCAGCTCTGTGCCGCAGGGTGGGCAGCATCGTGCCAGGGCTTGGGTGGGCTCGGAGTGGCTGAGGGGCTGTGTTCCTCCTCAGATTGGAGCCGTTGCTACTGCTACTCCTGATTTGAGCTCCTGGTAAACCTGTTCCTAAAATTCTTCCCGGTGAGCTGCTGCATCTGTCGTTGCTCCTGGCGCTTGAAGCAAGCTGTTTGTCCTCGGTCCATGGTCCGGGCCACTTCCCAGAGGAGGTGGCTTGGAGCGGCAAGTTGCCAACCAGGGAGGAATGAAATGATGGTGTTTTTTTTTTCCTGGAGCGGTCGGGAAGGACTTCTCTGCCACTCATCTTCTCCGTGCATCACATCCCTCCCCATGGCCATGCTCCGCAACTCCTTATCTCTGCGTTATATAACAGATGCTGTTCGCTGGATGAATTGCCCCCGGGAACATAAATCTTCATGTCTGAAGTCATGTCTTTCAGCCTGTCAGCTGAGTCCCTCTCCACAGGCTTCGGAAGACCCGATAAATATTTCAGACCTGGAAGGAGGACCCTTATGGCTCTGCACCAGGATGGAAGGGGAGGCTCAGTTGCATGTGCACTTGACCTCCAGTTTCATAA